AGCCGCAGAGCCAGGTGTGATTGGTCTCAAAGCCCATGCCCTCTGCCACTTCACTCTACTGCATCTGCAGGGAGGGACAACGCAGTCTAGACCTCGTCAGGACCTACAAGGAAGCTATCTGATGGGCGGCAATGAGTTGATGGAAATTGTGAAGTGAAGTCTCATTGCATTGTTGGGGTTGAGAGCAAGGCAAGTCTGGGCTGGGCACAGTCCACCAGTACCCAATGCTTTGGGAAGGCAGATGCCCTAAATTCTGCACATGATTCCCTGTTTGAAGATCTCCGAAGTGACTTGGACTATCGAGGAAAGGAAGACTCTAAAAAATTAACTGTAGGCTGTAAAATTGCAAATTATCCATTGAAAACAGAAAATGAAATTGATTGATTCAGTTCAACCTGTGTTTGTTGGGTAAAGCATCAATAGAAATCAGTGTGGCTGCACAGGGAGCAGTTTCATGGACCAGATTTTAGAAGGACACATAAGGTTGAAAAAGTGATATGTAATGCAGGATAAAAGTCTGACTAGAACCTGGGGATATGATTCAGCAAAGAGGCTGAATCTGAAAAACAACAGCAAAAAATACTCTAAAGACAGCAAAATAGTGCCTTTAAAGCTGTTTCTTTTGGATTGGGAACAAGGAAAGGATAGGCCCAGTGCTGAGGCAGATGGTGTAATGTTACATGATGGGGAAAGACAGAATTTTCAACTCTCAGCTTTTTGTTTTCTTTGTCAAGGAAAATGATCCTCAATCTAGAAATGTTAAACAAATACCTAGAAGAGGAAATTGAATCTGGATAGGTGAGAAAAATAGGAGAAAAATGAATTCAACTTTCTAAGCCCAGGTGAAAGATGACACATTTAGAGTAGTGTCTTGGATGTGGCATTACTCAATCAGAATTTGTTGAATGAACTGAATTAACCCCCTGGTGTTGAAATAGCTTGCAGATATAACCTCAGTCTTTGAAAACTCATGAAGAATTCCAGAACCAGAAGACTAGAGATGAGTACATTTTCTACTTTTCACATGAGAAAGAAACATGAATTCTGATTCTTGTCAAAATTCTAGAAGGGATTATTAAAGAAATTGTAAATATTTAGAAAGAAATTTAGAGGTTACTGAGGAACCACTGCTATTTACTGAGAAGCTGTGAAAAACAAATGTCATTTCATTTTCTGGGTGGACTTGCAAGGTTGGTAGTGCCAATGGACACAGCAGACATGGTGAAACTTGATTTCAGGAAATGATTTTTTTATCAAAGTTTCCTGTAACAGCCTAATGGACAAGATATAGAAATGAGGGCTGGATGATACCAGTTGGGTGCCTGCATTGAGCCCACAGAACAGTCTCACTCAAAGGCTAGAAAGGTCCCTAATGGGCCAGATGGCTCTGTTCTTGGTCCAGTCCCGTCTGACATTTTGTTTTTCAGTATCGCATAAAGTTATAGGATGCCCATTTATCAATTCCTCAGAAATCCCAAATCTAGGAGAAACGTGTCCAGATGGATAAGATATTCAAAAGATTTTCCTGTAATGGAACAAAACAAACAAGATGATATTTAACAAGATTCGTATGAAGTCTTGAATTAGGTTAAGAAAAAGATCAGTTGCACAAATAGAACATGAAGTCCTCAGACTTCACCACCACTGGTGTGGAAAGACCAGATTCGTTTGCGAGTTAGTAAGAGCCAGGTGAAGACACAGCTGCTAGAAAGACTTCTGCAGCCCCAGGGCACAGGCGGAAGGTGCCGGGGAGTCTCTCTACTCTGGGCTGTTGATATTTTGCTTGATTTGGGACTGTCTTCCATCTTCATCCTGGAAAATTAGAAGGCAAGCAGGGGTGGGCAGCCCTTTCAGGACAACACGATGAATGATGTGGAGGTGCTGACTCTGAAAAAAGAATACCTCAGTGGATGGTGAGACCTGTCTTCAAATATCTGAACGTCTTTCATGTAAAATGTGTAGTTTTGTGCTCTCTCTGTTTCCTCCAGAGGGCAAACTGGACTCAGTGGCTAGCCTCCAACCTATGGAAGACCAATAGAAAGAAGTTTTTCAATACTTAGAATACATGCCCTGCAGTGGGCTGCTTGGACAGCGGGGAATTCCACTATTACATGGGGAGTCATAGTGGAGGCTGGAGTGGCAGGGAGGTAGGGGGAATTCCTGCGTGCCTCCGTGGCTGGAATAAATGACCCCTGAGACTTCTTCCATCATGTACTTGTGTGGTTTGAATAAGGACCATCACAGTTTACTGAGCTCCCATTATGTGCCAGGGCTGAGTTGAGGTCTCTTTGTGCACAATCCCGCTGCATCTTCATAACAGATGAGGAGACTGCAGCTGGGGAGGCTACACTAAGCGTCCAAGCCCACATAGTGGGACGTAGAAGAGCGAAAGTTGGCTCCCGAGCCTGAGTTTAAAGCGTATGCTCTTAACTTCTATGTTATATATGAGATCTGGTCTACATACTTCATTCTTTCACTCGACAACTAATGCCTGGAATACCTTGTTCTTTACCTCGTTCTCTCCCTAGAAAACTCTTACTCATCCATTTAGATTGAGCTCACCTGCTGTCTCCTCTCTGCAGCCTCTCTCACTTCCTCCCCAGGAGATTAATTGCTTCCCTCCTGTGTTGCACAGCAAGGGGGCACGTTGTATTCTATTTGGCTACGCAGTGTTGGTTTCCCCCAGTGGACTGCAAGCTCCCAGCTTCCTGAAGAGCTGGAACCAATGCTTATTCATCCCTGTCCCTCAGCGCCATAAACAATGCTTAGATGTTGGTACTCAATGTGTTTATAAGTTTATTCATTCATTCATTCAAGAAACCTAAGAAAGGGATAACATCTTTCTCATTCCCCTCCCTCCTCTCTCTCCCCACTTTAATCCTTACTGTATGACATTCCACATATCATTGTCCTATTCAACCACCTTTAGTGTCCCTTTGTGTTCTACAGCACAAAGTACTAGTCCCTTAGCATGACGTCCAGGGGTCTCTATGATGAGATCCTCATATACTCTCAGGCCTCATCGTCACCCCTCCGTGCCTCCTTCGCCCTTCCTAATGTCTGTCCCCCCCCACCTTCTAGCTCATCCCCTCGTCTTTTCTGATGTTGCTCCTCTTCTTGGAAATTCCTCTCCCATCCTCTTATTTCCTCTTAGAGTGATGGCCATTCTTAAATGTCCCAGTTCATACCCTACCTCTCTCAGGAACCCCCCTTCCAACCTAACACCCTGACCAGGAAAATGGCTCCTCCAACCTCACCCTGACTAGGAGAACCCCCCTCCAACCTCACATGCTGACCAGGAAAACCCTCCCTTCTCTGTATTCCCAGAGACCTTTTCTGCTGCTTTGTTGCGGGATCAGTTTTCTAATGTTCTCTTTTATTTTAGCTTTTTGGGTCCACCTGAGCCAAAAGATTATGGAGCAATATCCTTTTTGGCAGGCACTATGCTTTACTATCTCCAAATTTCTCATGAGATGTAGCATTATCTATCACTGTATCCCCAGTACCTAAGGCAGTACCTGACACCTATTCAATAAATAGTTGTCAATGGATGAAGGAATGAGGGAATCCTCCAGAAGTCAAGACCTGCATAGTGGCACTCATCTGCTCATTAACTAACTAAAATTTGGATCGTTGCATATAAATCCCTCTGTTCCCCTATTTCCTTATCAATAAAAAGGTGGTCAAAGAGACAGTGAGAAAAGGAGACTCTTTTTGTGGATGACTTGACTTGCTGTGATGTGATGTGCCAGGGGCATTATTTGTCTTACAGGCCTAGAGAGGGAGGGAGAGAGAGAGGAGGGAGTGGTACACAAGCAGTGAAGAGCAGGGGCTTCCAATAAGACTCACTTGAGTTCAAGCCCTGGCTCTACCGCTTATTGACTGTGAGCTCGGGCAGTTACTTTCGTCTTTTAAACCTTTGTTTCTTCAGCTCTCAAGTGGTGATAGTGAGGGAACCTACTGGTGAGTTTGCTATAAGGATTAAATGAGATGCCGTGTAGAAGGCACATAGCCCATTGACTGGTATGTAATTGCTGTGTAATAAACAGTAGCTCATTATTATTATTATTGTTATATTGCCTGCGTATCTTATTGTTCAGTTTAACCAGTGAGGAAGCAGAGGCTCCAAGAGGTTAAGCAACTTGCCCAAGCTCACACGTCTTCTGTCTGCGCTGTTTTCCCCACTGCCTGCGGGACCCTCCAGTATAAATCCTTCTAGAATGGCCATGAGCTTTGCAATACAGCCTGTGTTCTCATTTCAGGGTGAAATACTAGAAAGCCACCTCTATGTTGCTCTTTCTCAAATATGCCCAGATTTTAACATTTTGGTATCTAAACATTTAGCATCTGACTTTGAGTGTCTGAAAGCAGTGTCAATTTTCTCATGGTTATTCTTCTGTTTAATAAAGGTCATTTTCTAAATTATAAGAATATATGGCTATAACTTTCTCCCGATGAGACTCAAAGCTAATAACATTTTTTTTTCATCATTTGGCTTTTCTTTGTGCAAAAAATCAAAATGCCAATCACCACTCTATGACTAAACGTGGTGTGAGCTTCCTTGCCCCATGAAGGGAGCTGCACCTGACCTGGGCACTCGGTATACACTTGATTTGCGGGGTGGAAAGGAGGAGAGGAGACAGTGTCCAGCAGAGTTACGAGGGTTTTCTTTGGTGGAGGATCTGAGGCATAAACGTACAGAAGTTTTAGGGAGGACAAGTGAGCGGGAGAAGTTTCATTTAAGGCAGGGCATGCTCAAGGGTATATGACCCTTGGTGATGAAGTATTCACGCCCTGAATGTCCAGTAGGACTGCCCCCAGGGTGTGCACAGGTGGGTTGTATTTGTCCTGCTCCTGACCTCGAGGCATCAACAGGCCGTCAGGGGCTACTGCCTGCTGAGCTCTTTTTGCTACAAACACGGCCCGCTAAAGTGGTTCCAAAGCAGTTTGATCATGGAGAGAGAAATGCCAATCTCACCCATTTGCCTTGATTTCTTAAGCAGATTCAGGCACACAGGATGAAGCGCAGCTTTTGCAGGAGTGGTTTAAGCTGGTTCTGGAGAAGAATAAATTAATGCGATATGAGTCGGAGCTCCTGATCAGGTAAGTGAGGCAGCACAGAGGACTAGAGTCCTAAAAGCAGAGGGGCGGGAGGGGGCGGCTCCCCCTCCTCTGATGAAGTCCCGGGATTTTCTCTCCTTGTGCATACAGAATTGTGATTGAGGCAAATTGACAGTTGATGCCTTGCATATCATGCTGACATTAGCACAGGGAATTTCAGTGGTCTGTTTTCTCTGTCGAGTCCCATGGCTAAAACAGATCTCAGGTAATGGGTCTGGAGCTGGAGGGCGTTTGGATAGGTATTTTCAGTCCATCCCTGTCCCCCAAGCCAGGGGGGACCCACCTGCCGTCACACACCTGCAAACAGGGGCATGTGAGTGGCCTCTGAGTGCGGATCGCAGGAAGGGCTTGATGAGACCTGCCTAGCCATCTCTTTGTGACTTTGATGCATTGAAGGACTGAGATCTGTCTGGCTGTCCTCTCTTGTCACATTCTGAAAAAGTTGAAGGTCACTTACCCGTCACCATTCTGGAGGGAAAGAAAGTAACAATCTGAACCCACTGAGCATCACAGGTATGCTGGGTGCTCTCGCTTCTGCTGGCTCACTTCATTTTCTCCCCAACCCTGAGAGGTAATTTGGGGGGTCTTGGAAGAGGTCTAACAAATTCCATTCCTCTTCCCTACCTCAGTTCTGAACTAGGTGAGAAATAAGACAACGAAGTCAATAGATAGAACATCAAAATATTACCTTTATTACCAGTAGGAGCTAGCTTGGCTAAATGTGAGAGCCCAGGCAGGCCTGCTAACTGTGTTAGCTTCCTAAGCTGGAGTAACAAATTCCACAAGCGGGGTGGCTCACAACAACAGAAATTTGTTCTCTCACAGTACTGGAAGACAAAAATCTGAAACCAAGGGGTTAGGACAGCCATGCTTCCTCTGGGGGAGAATCCTTCCTCATCTCTTCCAGCTTATGGTGGCTCCAGGCGTCCCTTGGCTTGTGGCTGCATCGCTCCAATCTCTGCCTCTGTCTTCTCTGTGTCTGTGTCTTCTCCTCTTCTGTCTCTTATAAGGACACTCATCATTGAGTTTAGGACCCACTGGGATAATCCAGATGTTCTCATCTCAAAGTCCTTAACTTAATTACATCTACAAAGACCTTTTTCCAATTAAGATCTCATTCACAGGTTCCAGGGGGTTAGGATATGGACCTATCTTTTGGGGGTCACTATTCAACCCACTACACTAACCAAACCCCAGAATTAGACATACTTACCCACACAAAAGGTCGTAGACCTACTTGCTTCTTAGGGGCACGGCTTTTACTCTAGACCAGTGGGTCTCAAGTGCAGGCAATGTCGCCCCCCAGAGGATATTCAGCAATGTCTGGAGACATTTTTGGTTGTCACAATTAGGAGGTGCTGCTGGTATCTAGTCAGTAGAGACCAAGGATGCTGCTAAACATTCTACAATGCACAGGACACCCCTTCTCCCCTCACCAACAAAGAATTGTCCAGCCTAAAATGTCAATAGTGTCAAGATTGAGAAATCTTGCCCTAGACCTATGGCGAGGCTCAGAGTAATCAAGAACACATCTGGTGCAGGCCAGGAGAGAAAGGGTGTGAGCTGAGTTCACCCAGTCATCCTCCCATGGGGAGAGAGTGAGTCAGAGTGGGCCCTGGGGGAGGAGGCCAGCAGTTGTACTCATTGAGCCCCACTGACATGGAAGGAAAGGCCACTAGCGGGCAGAAGGGGTCATCTGTAGTAATTATTTGTTCTATCACTACTTTTTACATCATTGCACATACTGAGATTCAGAGCAACTGAGTAATTTGTCCACGTCCACCTCACTATAAAGCCCCTTTTACACAATCGTACCATCTGCCTTTGGGCCAGGTCTGAATTGTAAAATTCATTCAACAAAAATGTATCAGGCACATTCTATGTGCTAAGAGCTGTGCTGGGCACTGTGAAAATAAAGGTGAGTAAGCCCATGGTCCCTGTCTTCTAGGATCTCACGGTTTCAGGGGACACAGACATGCAAACCCAGATCATGATAGTGATGACAAAACATGGCAAGAGTCCATGGAGGTTTGTAGAAGGAGCAGTCAGGGCATAGGGTCTACCCGTGAGAGCCAGGGAGGTGACGGCTGCTGCCGCTACTGCTCAGTGACTGTGGCTTCCCCAGTTAGTACCCTGCAGAGGGACCTTCTCCAAAGAGAACTCAAGCATATGAGCTGGATGAAGGCGGGTAGGAGCTCTGTTAAAGGATAGATTTTAGTCTGGAGAAACACCTGGATGAACAAGAAGAAATGTCTTAGATTGATGTGTCCATCTGGGTCCCTTGGGAAACAGATGCCAAGACAGAATTAGAAGTACGAGAGATTTATTGGGAAAATACCTGTGAAAGATAAAGGGGAAGGGAAGCAAGGAAAAGAGGGGAATCTACAGACCGCACTGTGGTCCCGATTCCTGGGAAAGGAGAGGGGAAGGGAGGAGAATCAGGCAGGGGAGCCTCAGACTGCAATGTAGCCTGAGGAAGGCTCAGCCAGGCCAATGGGAGAGCAGACTGCCCACAGAGGCGGCCAGAGCAGGGCAGGAAGGGCCCAGCCCTAGTACTGATGCTGTGTTCAGTCATTGGCTGGGACCTGCCCCGGGACATCAGGGCCTCAGCATGCCACTGAATGGATTCTGCAGCAGCAGCCAGCTAACTGCACTCCTCCTGGAAAGTTCTCTCTTAAAGGAAGTATGAGTGGCGCATCTCCACTGGTTACCACCATGGGCCTAGAGACGTTCACTGTCAATAGCAAAAGGCAGAATGTTGAACAAGGCAGGGACCTTGGCCCAAGTAGGAGCATCAGCAGTAAAAATAATGACAACAGCAGCAGGGTAAAGCAACATGACCCCAACACTATAGCAGATGCACGTACAGACTGCAGGTGGGGCTGGAAGGAAGGTCCCAAGATGCCAAACCCAGGGACTTCTTCTCAGCCCTTGCCCTTCAGTGATTCTGTAACAGTGTACGCCCTTGAGTTCTCTCTTCTCTCAAAACTTTCCTCTGCACTTCTGTGATGCTCCATGTCTTGTTTTTTCCTTCCAACATTTTGCTTGCCTCTTCCCTGGCTCCACTTCTTTTATTTGGCTTCTAAATGTAGGCATTCCCAAGCTCCTGTCTTCAAAGCTTTCCTTTCTCTAGAGTCTCCCTCTTAGAGATCACGTGACTTCAATACCTATCACCTTGACCCCCGCCACATCCGTGTGTGGTCCTCCTGTCTTCTGGCAACTCCATAGCTGCATTTGCAAAGGTTTGGGGAACCTCCACATCACCACACGGCCTAGCGCAGGGGGAGCTTACATACACTCTGTGACATCCACGGGATATCCCCAGACATGGAAAGGTCAAGAAGTTCCAACCTGACCTTCACCAAGAACTCAATACACTTCTTGACTTTGCTGCTGCTATCGGTGGAAACACTGAGTCCCCAGCACCCCAGCTTCACTGCTCCAAAGCATCACTGGCTCTTCTTCCCTCACTCCTACAACCAGACACTGGAGCGGCCTGAGTTACATTGCCTCCACCTGGAGAAAACGTCCCACTCCTCTTTCCCCCTTGTTTTCCACAATCAGAGATTTGGGAGTTGTCACAGGTGATACTTGAGGTAGTATTGCCCCTAAAAGAGAGGAGTTCCAGATTGTCATTGCTTCTCCCTGGACTATTCGAGTCCTCCTTCACTATCCATCCCTGATGGGTGGCCTGAGTGGCCTTCTCAAAGCCTACCGAGATCCCATCACAGCCTTCAGCTGCTCCCCATCATCTCCTGAGTTCACCATATCTCAGCAATCCTTCTTGGCACCTCAGTGACCCCAGCAGCAGCAAAACCTTCAGTTTAGAGATGTTCCAAGACCCTGGTTTTAATAAGGAAAGAAGAATGCAGTAGCTACTGTCGTGGGCTGATTAGTCACTGTGTCTACTCAACTCTCCAGTATTTACAAAGTTTGAATGTTTTCCCATCCCCAGGGCCCAAGAACTGGAATTAGAAGACCATCAGAGCAGACTGGAGCAGAAATTAAGAGAGAAGATGCTCAAGGAGGGTGAGTATGGTGACATGTTTGGGGCCCTTGGAGAAGACGTTTTTCCCCAGAAAGACACTTGAGCAGAGCAGAGCGTTCCTCCCGCCTTGCACAACCAGCCTGGGAGTCAGAGAGGAGCACAAAGCCAGCCTGCCTTCTGCCCTCTGCCCCCAGCACAGCAAGTCCTCACTTAGCTTCTTTCACTTGGGCTGTGAGAGCAGTATTTTGCTCCATCTCGTGTTTGAAAAGGAACAAAGTCATTTATTCACGCATTCATTCACTTATCCGTCCATTCATTTACAAACACTCACTAAGAATCTAGTGCGGGCCTGGCAGACACGGAAGAGCAACCGTGCCTGTGGTCTTGCTGCGGAGACCGACACCCAGACCGGTCCTTACAGTACAGTGGGATGAGGACCACGACACAGGTACTTGGGGAGCACAGAGGAAGACAGGCCAAGTTCTGCCAGGCACTAGAGATGGTAAAGGAAACATCCTTCCGGGCATGGGCTGGGCCAGGGCATCACACATGAGAAAATTATTTCCATGGTGAAGGAGGTAGAGTTGAAATGAACTCGGTGACACAATTTACTGATTTATGCATTCATTGGTTCCAGCCAGCCAGGTGTATTCATTCTGTTTTGTGCCTGTGTCTTTCTAGGGCCATATCCATGCATGGCTTTCTCACATTTTGACCTAGGTCGAAAAGAACAAGTTAAATAATTTCTTTATACTTCATGGACCAAACATTGCACCTACCTATGGGTTGTCTGGTATAAAGGCAAGCACTTAGTAAATATTACATATCATCATGATGATCGTTCTTATTTAGGTATTTTATCCCTATTTTACATTAGAAAACTGAGTCTCTGAGAACTTAAAAAGCATGCTCAAGGTAAATGACGGGGCCAAGATTTAGGAACAGATCGCCACAGACCCTGGCTCTCCTGTTCTTTCCCACATAGTAGTGGTTCGTAGAGTGATCTCTGTAGCAACAGAATTCTATTTCTAACAAAATCCTTATTGGATTTTGCACTATATAGAACAGATAAAAGTCTTTTTTTTTTGTCAGAAGGGGCTGAGATGGGTCGATTTGCAACAAGCTGAAAGTGAGAAAGGAATTCTTTTTCTGTGTTGATTATGAAATATGGAGCACAATACTGGAGTATACCTAAATTAACAAACCATAGTATATAACTAATATCTGATTTATACATCTGATAAAAATTTTACATTTGCTAAGTTTCAGCATGGTAAAACAAATACCACCAAAGACTCCAGTAGCCACCTTTGATTCTTTTAAAAAAAATTCTTACTAAGAAATGATGGTCATGCTTCTTCTCACTCCTCTCAGGTGTACAAAAAAAGAAAAAAGCCCACAAATGTAGCTTCTTTATTTTATCTGTACCTGAGCTCATCTTCCATGAAAGCTTCATCCTATTAGTTAGTAAGGAAAAAGACAAAAGGAAAGGAACTTTATTTATCCCTCTCTGGTAAACTCAGTCTGATGCAATAATTTAAACAGTCCCTATAGGAAATGCTCAGTCTCTTTGGGATGAAAATATTCAGTCTTGCAGATGGCTGCCCCTTCGTTCTGCTTTTCTCCCTAAGGTGACTGCCAGGCGATGGGGAAAGGCAGGTCTGTGTGACCTCACAGCCTTAGGAACCTGTGTGGGTTGCTCTGACTCACTGAGACCCCACACAGCTGTCTTCCATCATCCGGCTGCTGCTCTCTCTGCTGGCATTTGCAGCTAAGGTGTGCGGCCGGTGCGCTCCATAGCCTAGTCATTCTCTCGGCGTGCTTGGAGCCTGGTGGCCTTCCCTGGCTCACTCAGCCTCTCCTCAGCACATCCTCCATTCTGCTTGGCCAGACAGTTTCCACTGTGAAGCCGTTTCACTCCTCATCATGGGGGAGCCCCACGGCAGGCTCATGGCCAGCTACCTTTGGCAGCTCTGGGGCAAGTGGGCACATCTAGGCTCCACCTGTGTGTGCCACGCACAGCAGATGGAAATGTCGGGAGCCACACTCAGACCCTTCTTCTCTGCCCAGCATGAAGTACTGCCTCGTGTTTATACATAGGGCGCCCTTCCAGCTGGCTTCTTCCCAGAGTTCCCAACGAGGGGCAGGACAGGAGTTCTTGGGTCCCCACTGTTCCTGTCAAATAATATGACATTTCCTTCTCCACTGGGGGCTTCCGAGGCTGGAAGACTGGTGCCCAGGGCTCTCACCTTCTGCTTCGCCTGTCTCTGTCTTCTCCCTCCCATAAAACATGAGGTACCAAGGAAACGGTGCTCCTTTATTTATCTTTTGTCACACGTGCCTTCTTCCTGACACGACTTCAGATCGAAGCCTGATATGAAATAGCGTGGCAACTTCTCTGCTCCGGGATGGGCTCACGGCCCTGTGCCCAGTGTGTTCAATGCAAGGGGCTAAAGGAGTTTAGACAAGGCTCTCCCAAGGCAATAATCTGGTGGATAAGACTTAACTCTGGCTTTAAAATCCTATTTTCGGTATCCGAAAGTCATCATTCCCTGTTTCTTACCCTTTCTCTTTCTTTTATAACAATCTCGCTTCCCCCAGGTAAGCACATGCCTCAGGCCACTTGGGAAGAAGCTTGTGTACTCAGAAGGGGGAAAGGGAAAAGTGTTGTCACAGTCTGGAAACATCCTCCCATTGGCCAGCCACAGCCTCGCTTTGCTTCTGCCTGGTCTCTACCCAAAGGGCTGCAATTTGTCATTAACTGCCACTGAAAAAAGGCTTCTCGTCATCGAGATAGTAGCCACTGATGCAGACGGTTTACTTTGAAACTTTTCTCACAGGTTTCCTTGCTGTAGCTCAGACATATTTATGGAAAACTTGCTTTCCTTGTTTTGTTGGTTTCTTTTTGCAGGGGAGGGGATGTTGGGGGACCTGGTGGGGCTTGGCTGGTATTCACTTTTTCTCACAAAAGGCTTTTCCCTGTCGCTTTATGTCTATTCTCCAGATGGAGACAGCTGACTGCAGCACAAAGCACCCAGCTTTCTAATCTGCGGCTTGGAGGGTGGTTCCCTGGTGTTAAATTCACTTCCTTGTTTTCTCCATGGAAATTAAAGGGCAGCATAAGTCCAGAGCAGTCAAGAATGCCCTTGCCAAGAGCTCCCCTGGGGCCAAATCTTACCTGAGGCCCAATGTTTTTCTTTTTCTCTTTAGAGAGCCAGAAAGATGAGAAGGATCTCAGTGAGGAGCAAGAAATATTCACCGAGATGATGCAAGTGATTGAGCAAAGGAACAAACTCGTGGATTCCTTAGAGGAACAACGCATCAAAGAAAGGGCTGAAGACCAGCACTTTGAAAGCTTCGTATTCTCCAGGGGCTATCAGCTGAGCAGGACGTGAGAAGACCTGAGGCTCCTCCCTCGAAGCAAGCAGAGGACCCAGCAGGCCAGCGCACCTCACACACTCGAGTTCCTCTTGCAGGATTTGTCACACTGGGAACTTAAGTTATACCATACTGCAATTTTTTTTTTAATTAAAATTCTCTTATATGTACTACAGCTGCCCAAGATCCTTCCAGAGATCAAAGACTCTTGAAATTGGCAGTCAACTTCAGCAGGTTTCTTGGACTTGAGATGACCTTGGCAGATGACCAACATTGTTTTCCCTAGAAAGTAACACAAAGATGGACTTTCCTGCTGCTTTTATCGTTTATCCTCCCAATTCATTAAGTTACACATTGTAAGATTTTAAGAAGCCGCCTTTTCATTAGTATATCCGTATTTGCCTTTTTTGCATGGATCATCGGTTTCCAAATGTCACAAAGAAGCAGCAGCAGTTTAAAGATTAGGTTAATATTTAAATTGTGTTTCCAGAGAAAGCGGAGAAACCTTGAGATTACTGATTACATAAAGCAAATAACTCATATAGCAGGTGTTAATTCAATCCAGGGTGAATTTAATTTACCAGGTGTATTTATAAGCCTTAATATAATATACATAAGCAATGAGAGTTTAATAGAACATTTGAGCCTTAATTTTATCAAAATAAAAAGAAGAAAGAAAGAAAAAGGGAAATAAAACTAACTTCATACCAGCAGAATTGTTCATTTTCACCAAATACTGTCGGTTTAGAAAAGCTTATGTTCTCAGAGCACTGTCCTTATGGCCCCTGGAACATACTGAAAAGCATTTTTAGGAAATGAGTAATTTTGAAGTGCCTTTTCATAACTGTTGGTAATGGCAAAAAAGGAAACTCTTTCATTTGTTGATAAAATATTGGTGAGGATGGTGCTGCTGTTAAAACCGAACACACTAGTGATCCAAGGCCAGAAACGCTTCACTGGTGGTCTTCTCAGGTCCAAACAGAGATGTGTCTCTGGGACTGTCTCCAGGGATTGCTCAGGAACTCCACAGGACAAGGACAAACCACTGCTGACTCCAAGGTGGAGCCGAGTACAGTGACCCCATTTACTAAATCCCAAATTGGGTCACAGTTGTTTGTTTTTTTTTCTATGACGTTTTCAATGTGAAAGGAGAGCTGGGAGCTGGAGTTGGTGCACTGACGTGGAATTCCTGGGATGTTTTGATGGTTCATGTGGGAACCAAAGAGAAGATTTTAAATGGCGATCTGTTGTCATAAAGTATTTGACTGTTTTCCTTTAACAGGATTCTTGGGAGATTCAGTCTGTTGTTGACGAGAGGCAGACTGTAGAAGTCTTTGTTGGATGTCTGGCCTCTCTCATTTCTGCGTGTGTTTCAATGTGTCATTGGACAAAAGGTGCTTTGCCACAGTTGGCTTTGACGGGAGACCTAACTTTCCTCAATCGAAGTTCACCCATGAACCACTCTTGTCTGAGATGCTTCTGTGCACACCAATCTGGCCAGCTGACAAGCCAGAAATTACAAGTGTGATTGGATTTCCTGAGTCAGCCAGCGTTTTGGGTGGTATTAAAATGCAGCCTTTCCATGGTATACCAAGTTCTGAAGGTTGGAGGTCTTTTTTCTTTTCCTTTCTTCTTTTCTTTTCTTTTTTTTTAAGAATCAGGTCTTCTAGTGCCTGGATTCTGTTATTAGGAAATATGTACAGGCATCTTTCCATCTGTCTATCTATCTATGAAAACTGTGCCACTTATGGCTATTTATCTATTTTTATTTATTTGTATATTTAGTGGAAATTGCTAATATGGTTTCCTCATAATTCTAGTTCTCCTGTGTTATAATTTGGAGAAGACTTGTTAGCACTAAGGTATTAGTATATAAGCTATTTATCATTCAAATAACCCAGATGTTTGGGGCAGTGGGTTGTATAGTATTAAAGGTTTATGCAGATTGTCAACATTAATGTTTTCAGCAAACAGGCATTTAGAGATAAGACTACAGATGCTCAGGAATGTTAACTCACTTTAAGAAAGAGATATAGAACTTGTTTTTATTCTAGAATATGTAGAAATAGTCAAGTCCAGTCTTTTCTGTCAGTTATATACAAGTGCATTATTTGGGGCTTGCATACATTTAACAGATGATGCTCAAATGTGCAGTGTCTGGGTTGCTACTGTACAAAAGAATTAATTGCCACTTAGTTTAATTTGTTCTCTTTCCATCTAAAAGAAAGATTCTCCCAAAAGGGCCAAGAAAGAAGGTGGTTCTTTGCCCTAGTATTCTGTTAATAGATGAGAGAAGAATTTGTTCACTTCCTTTCCCAAAGACTATGTTCTCTGGTTTAAGACTGAGTCTCACCTGGCCAAGTTAAAACATTAACCTCATACCAGCCTTCTACTTATCCTGGCTTTCAGTTTTACTAGTACATAAAAGTCATCTCAATGATCATTTCCAGAGAGACACAAATATTGTGGCTGTTGAGCTATTTTAAATGATTTCATTCCTCATTCACAACAGAGAATGTTCTAAGACCCTCAAAATGTAAAATATTGTACATTTTGAAGACAGTTTCTTTGTATGCAATGTGAGTAGGATTACGATGAAAACAGAGCCTTCACTGTCCCATAAAAGAACACTTGTGGTCAAGGCTGAACAATTTAGGACTCTGAACAAGACAAGAAGCCCCATCCAGTCTCAGGACGTATTTCATAGTCGGTCTCACACAGCTTCTAAGTTAAACCAAAGGGCTCATGATAGTTATAAGCTCAGAATTTTACACAGGTTGGACCAAGGGGACAGTTGTGAAGCTTGCTGTCCCAAACCATTCATTTATTTGTTTAATAAACATTCTCCGAATACCCGTGGGGTTCTGCAACCCTGTGTTAGGTGCTGGGCTACAGAAAGAATAGTATTCCTCCACCCACAAATAAGTACAAAGATAAAAAAGGATCACTGCCAAAGAAATACAAAGAACTATTTTTATTATAAGCATCAACCTATTCTGCTCACGTTTGTTTCACACATAAAGACTTAGAGCCCCAAGTATTGTAGTGCCTCTTTGGCAATAAAAGCATGAATAAGTTCGTGTTTCTAAAACTGTGAAAAATAACATCAGGTTGTACTGTTTCATTTAAACCTTGACGTTGGCAGCGTCAGGCTGCTTGGACTCAATCAATGCTGAGATGCAGCATGTTAATTGCAGCTGAGAAAGGAAGTGGCAGGTGTTTCCAGCTCTGATGAGCTGCAATGAAATTGATGTTTTCTGCATTCTGGAGGCAATTGACAATTCAGCAATGTCTGTCTTCCCAGGAAGCAGATTTACAGGTTTTTCCTTCCAAACTGAAAATGGCAGCGTGTCCCACCCAGGTGGCTGATCAGAGAAGTCCCTCAGCAGGCAGAGGTGGCAGGGGGCAGTGGGGCTGCCACAAGAATGGTGAGGGGCAGTCATCGGATGTGGTGAGCTCAAATGTGGGAGTTTATTGTAACAAGAAAGTTCACGTAAGGGGAGCGTGCGCTATTTCACCGACTGTTTATCTTCTAACCTCACCGCTGAGTAGCTTGTAAAAGATTAATTTGCTCCAACAATTGGGAACTATTCATGTGGATTGAAATGTGTTACATGTGCACTGCTATAAATACTGAAATGAACCAAAAATAAATGCTTTTGTGTCTAAGGCATCAAAACATTTTCAAGTGGGCCTTGTCTGGCACCTCTGAGGACAGCGTCCATTTCATTTCTTTCTTTTCAGTGAACGAAACTGAGCAAAGCTTTGATTTCATGTGGGAGCCTGTGAATTAACGTTCGATACTTTATTCCCACTGGGGCACCTGGAGGGACTTACCTGACCAGAAAATTGGATCCGGGAGGAGGCGTGAAGAAGGCTCACCTCAGGTGTATTCTCTCAACAAAGGAAGCTATTCTCAGAGCTGGGGAGGGGGAGAGACGGGGCCTATCCTAGTTCTGCCTCCCTGTTTCTCTTACCTTCTTCCCTCGTGCAGCTTGGTTTTGTATTTCAGTCACTCAACAGGGATGCTCCCATCTGCACAGAACTGGCCTCTTTCTTCAACTCACACTCTTTCAGGACCAAGGGGTTTTTTTGGTCTGTTTTTTCTGTGTTCTTAATCCCAGCGCATGCACATTTATGAAATGTGAGCACGTAACACACCAGAAATGAATGCCACATCAGGTTAATCAAGCAGTCAGTCTTCGTCATTCGCGAGTTCCCCCATTGTTTGAAAGATTTTGTGTGCTGTTGGAATGTTTGAAATGATTCATTTTTTTTTTTCCATTGAATATCGACAAAAAGTAAACATTACTGCAGATGAGGGCTCCTGTTCTGCCGGTGATCACGTGCCAAAGGAAAAGCCCCAAGGAAAGGCCAGCCACCCTCCATGGCGCTTGGCAGGTTTCTTTGCGCCCCTGCTGGGCTGTCTGCCCTCCTGCTCACAGAGCCGCAGATGCGCAGCCTCCAGCACATCCCTCAGCGGCCACTCGCCATCCCTTCAGGGCACACTCCCTCTCCCAGCTCATTTCTAGAAATAAAAAAAGCAAACCGATGCTGTCACGGCTCCCCTGAGGAGCCTTCTGACCCTGGTAATGGTAATGATGCTGTGAATTCAGCTCTCCTCACCTGCCAGGTGCTGTCATAAGCCCTGTAAGTGCATTACTCCATTTAATCCTGTAAGTAAAATCCTTACGATTAACATTACCCCATTTTGAGATGATAAGACTGACACACACAGGCTCAGGGGCTTACCTGGTAGTCCAGGTAGACAGTAGTGACAGGAGCTGGACCCCAATGCAGTCTCCAGAACCCAGCCCTCGGCCACCAGGCTGTCTAGCCTCACTCTGAGTCCCCAGCCAGACTTGCACCTTTGCTAATCTGTTCCTTCCCTTCCTTTCCTACATCAGCTCCCACTGCCCCGGCCCCCAACACACCAGTGCCAGCCCTGCTCAGGGGGAGTCTGGGAAGAGAACCAAAGCTGCACTTGGCAGTGTGTGTGTCTCCTCCTATATTGCTATAGTCTATAGTCTCTCTATAGACTATGCCTCTATAGTTTCCTTCTAAATATACTCTAACACGAAACCTATCCTTTAGTACTTACCTAACTTGTGCCACCCCTCACAAAAATTGTTCAATAAACATGATACTCTAGGAAGATGCCTCGTGTTTATCCTGGGTGATCAAGTACCCCTGACACACTGTCACAGACCCCCAGGGAACATTTCTGCCCCAAATTGAGCAGCGTGGCATGGCATAATCAATCCCCACTCCCAGGGTAGGGAACCAGGAGCCCAGGGCTGAGGGAGTGGGTGAGGAAGAGGATGGAGGGAGTGATTTGGGGACCAGCTGAGAGCAAGATGGCTTTTGCAGGCCCTTAGGGAGACTGTGCAGAGGAGGGAGGAGGAGCAGGGAGGGTGGGGAGCAGGACAGGGGTCACTGAAAACGGCACTCATGGTCCTGTGTGAAACTAAACCTGACACTGGGGCACCGGGTGCAATACACCTGTGGCTCATGAATCCTGTTCCTTTCCTGTCTCCAGAATGACAGAAAACGTTTCCATAAGAATTTGGGGAAAGTGTGTGTGTGTACAGTAGTCCCCAAACCATAAGTGTATGATTTGAGAACAAATCAATAGCTAAAGAAAAAAGCAACAAATATAATCATTCTAAACACAGTAACCAGAGCTAAGAGTCACTGATTCAGGGCTCTAATTCCAGCTCTGCCATTGCTCTCTGGATGACCTTGAACTACTGAATTGTGCCTCAGTGTCTTCACCTGTGAGATGGGACTGACCCTCCCTCTCCCTGCCTCCCTGCCTCCCTCTCTTCCACCCTCCCTCATAGGCTCCTTGCAGGAGTCAGTCTGGTGTACATAGGCTCTATTTAAAATGGAAATGGCTAGACTAAAACTTTGTAACTAGAGTGGCCATGGTGAGTCCTGAACTGTTCAAATCCCAATAGAAACGGAAAACATCACCTCAAATCCCAGCAGAACAGGTAAGAATGGGCAGTTTCCACAACAGGAAAGGCCCTTCTCAGAGCACTGCCTCCTCCTCTTCAGGACGCTCTTTCTGCACTGGCCTCTCTGACCAAATGTCCAGCCTCTTGCAGGCCCCTTTGGCCAATGGTTCTTCAAACAGACCCTGAAGTCACCATCTGGCCCTGGTGACGTGGTTCCATCTCATTGTCAGAGGTAATATTTCTAACCTTCCTCCCGAAAAGGAAACATCTAAAGGATAAATAGCCTTAATATCTTCCCCAGCAGAGACGGAAGCAGCGACTCTTGCTCCTCCAGGCCACATGAGTCTGGAGGTGGGTGTGGGAGGAGGGTGGATGACAATTGTGACAAAGAAGACCCTGCTCCTTCAAGCACACTGGCCTGGGAAGGCGTAGGGGAGCCTTGGGAGTAAGTCAGTGCCTGTGACACAGACACACACAAATAGAGTCCTTGGGACTCCACGTATCCTTGCCTGTCTGGGTCTGAAGTGGCTGCCCACTGCTCCTTTCTGTGCTTAAAAGCTTTGCTCCTGCTGCGGTTCCTCTGGAGCGTTCTCCATTCCTCTGCTAGATCACTTAGGTGTGAGCCACTGATCTTAGAGCGTCCCCTCTACATGCTCAGGTGAGGAAATCCTGCTACTAATGTCCACAGCTCCTTACCAGACTCCTGAAGGAGAGGTAAGCAGGTCATCTGTCTCTAAGAATTTGGGACACATTCCCCCATGGCCAGACCAGAGGCCCTTTGAGTGGCGTCATCCTGTATGATCCTCAAAAACGTCCCCACCCTCAGTCCACCATGTCACAAAACAACTTCCCCGACCCTGATGCATTCCCTACCCATCAAGAGAAGCCCTTGCTCCCCAACCCCACCCTGCCATCTGGGCTGCCTTAACCCAGGCAAGTAGCACTCTTGAAGGACATGCTTCCTGGCAGCCTGGGCTTCAAAGACCACTGCTCATATCCCAGAGTTCCCAAGGGGGGACATGGCGGGGAATTCTCACTTAAGACTCTCACTTGAGAGCCATTTTCTCTCATATATTCTTTCCAACCAGAGAGCACGTCTTGCTTTCGGTGATCAAAGAGGTCCCCAAGAGGCTCTGGCTGGCTTCTCCCCACCACCCACCCCACCCCCGGGCTGCTTTAATGCGGTCAAACAACCTCTGAATACTCACTGGGATCCAGACTCTTTGTAAAACCTTCCTCATGATCCATAGGGACCTTCCATTTTGTCCTTTAGATGGTGTACTAGTTTCAAAGGGCTACTGTGACAGAGTACCACAAATTGGGTGGTTTAAAACAGCGGTTTATTCGCTCACAGTTCTGGAGGCTAGAAACTCAAAATGAAGGTGTCTGCTGGCCATGCTCCCCCTCAAGCCTCTGGCGGGGGATCCTTGGTCACCTCTTCCAGCTTCTGGTAGCTCCAGGCACTCCCTGGCTTGTGGCAGCATCACTCCAGGGGCCACCTTCCTCCTGTCTGTCTTCACATCGTCTTTCCTCTGTGTGTGTCTGTGTCCAAATGTCCCTCTTCTAAGGACACCAGTCTTGCTGGATTGGTGCCCACCCTACTCCAGTGTGACTTAAGATGCTTTTGAACATAACTAATTACATCTGCAATGACCCTATTTCCAAACAAGGTCACATTCTGAGGTCCTGGGGGTTAGGACTTCAACATGTCTTTTTTAGGGAACACAATTCAACCCCAAACTGATGGTATTCACATTTGAGAAATGTGAAACTTTCCCCAGGCCTATTTCAGTTTGAGTTTTACCTAAATTTGATTTGAGATGCGTGGTCTTCCTCTGTCCTGGGTTTTTAACCTATAAAACAAAAAAGAAGTCACACAGCAAGATCAAAAGAGAACAGAATGCAAAAGAAAAGTTGCCTTAACTACGACAGACAGAGATTCTAAGTACAGTTTATGAAACCTGTCTGCATGGAGCACGCAGACTCCAGTTTTGCCTCTTATCTTAGTAATTGGGGTGATTCTTTTACTGTTCTTTTAATGGTTACCCTAGAGGTTGCAACACGATTCTTTGGTTTATCAAAGTCCAGTATAAACTGTTACTTTTACTTCTTTCCAAAGCCTGGACCTTGGAACACAACTCTGTTTACTTGCCTCCCATGTCAAATGCTTTTGCTTTTGTGTATTTTAATTTGATGTGTATCTTTTTAAGCTCCATAAGACATTACTGCTATTTTATGTAGTTAACATTTTTTTACATGCACCTATATGTTTACTTTTTTATTTGTTCTTTATTCCTCCCTCTGTCACCAAGTTTCCATCTGCAACGATTTTCCTCCTGCCATACTCTTTAGTGTTTCCTTTTGTTTGGGTCTGCTATTAACAGTTTTTCTCAGTTGTGTTTTTTTTCCTCTTTCTGAAAATGCCTTCATTTCCTCTTTGTCAACTGGAGTCGAGTCTTTTGGATCCCAAACCAAAGCAAGGGTGACTTACCAGGGGCCCCTCAGTTTGATGGCGCCTGAACTTTTGTCTTTGTATCCTTGTTAGGTTGGCACCTGCCCTGCTCAACCTCAGCTTCTCTGCTGCCTCTTCTGAAATGGGCAGATGCCCCTACGGAGAAAGTCTCATGTGACGGGCTCACCTCCCTGGGATCTTCCTTCTAGATCTTGGCCCTATAGGTGTTGTCAGCTTTCCAGTACTCTCAAGCAGATGATTTTACAT